TTTAAGAAAACATGGAGTGATTCCTTTGGCAACGTATATGCGAATCTACAAGAAAGGTGATATTGTAGACATCAAGGGGATGGGTACTGTTCTAAAAGGAATGCCCCACGAATGTGACCATGGCTAAACTGGAAGAATCTACAATGTAACCCAGCATGCTGTTGGCATTGTTGTGAACAAACAAGTTAAGGGCAAGAGAATTATGTGCATATTGAGCATATTAAGCATTTTAAGAGCAGAGATAGCTTCCTAAAACGTGTGAAGGAAAATGACCAGAAAAAGAAGGAAGCCAAAGAGAAAGGTACCTGGGTTCAACTGAAGCACCAGCCTGCTCCACCCAGAGAGGTACACTCTGTGAGAACCAATGGAAAGGAGCCTGAGTTACTGGAACCTATTCCCTATGAATTCATGGCACGGTGGGTGTTAAAAATAAACTAATCTGTGGTATATAAAAAAAAAAAAAAAAGAAAGAATATCCAGATATTGGAAGTTATCTACTAGGGTATTTGTTCTGAAGATAAATATAAATAATTTGGGGGGGAGCATTACATTATATACTATTAATATAAAGTACTGTGATCTTGTATTAGAATATATGTAGCAGGACCAGCAGTTAGTGTAATGGCTATGTTGCTGAACTCCCATGTAGTCTACTGCAGTTCAAACCCCAGACCCGGTGGCTTAAACTCATGCTGGGCACCTGTGCTTGTGTGCCCAAGATCTCGAGAGGAGAATGGAGGAGAAGGGATTGCGGTGTGGCCATTCCCCCTGGGAGGTGATTTCTCGTCTCTGTATCTATCTGTCTTTATGGGCAGCACATGCGCTATAGCAAAAACAAAAACAAAAACAAAAAAATCTCTCTCAAAAAAAAAAAAGAATATATGTACTCACTTAAAAGGATATATTTAGTATAGTATTGCAACATGTACCATCAAAAGACTTTTCTCCCTCCAAATAATATGATAGCAGAATTTTTTTTTTAAATTGTAGCTTAACACTCTGGAGCATTTTTAATATTTCTTCATTTATTCTATCCTAGTTACTTATGTTGATGGCCCCCCCAAAATTTTTAGTTATAATTTAGACAGAAGCTCTATCTAAGACTGTTATTGGCTAAAATAGATGTTGATTAACATCCTCAAAAAATAGCTAAAAGGATCATTGTGTGTGTCTGTATGTGTGAACATATGATTGTAGAGTAACTCTTGGTTACTAATCACTACTTTTATGGATTGAGCGTGTAATTTCAGCCTGTAAATTTGTGGTCGTTATACTAATTAGAAAATTGTTTCAGTATTATTTTCAACTGACCTTTCACTCAAATAAATGCATGGATAAATACACATAAAATATACTACTGTCCCAGGTGTAATCTTGTTGCTTAAAAAATAAAGAACACTGGGCATTTTCCTCGCTTTACTTGGTGTCCTGTACATGTGCCGAGCTGCCCTGGTGGTGGTACTGCCGGCTTCTCCGCTGCCAGTATTGGCTTTTGATCCAGCAGAACACAAAGCTCAGCAGGCCCAGGCCATTTGTATTCCCTAGTTTGCTTTCCAGGGAGAGGAAGGGTTTAGTAAACCTTTCACTTGATGTGGTCAAGGTCAGAGAAAATGTAGCTTAATATAACACACAGCATGTACACATACAATTTTGTTAACATGTTCCCCTCTCCGTGCTAATTCCAGCAAATTAAAACAACAGTATGCTAGGTTAGGACCGAAGATTGCCACTTAGCATTTTGTGGTTCTAGGTAATTACTAAGAAAACATTTTCTTGAAACTAACAGCAACAAGGAGCACAATTGGTATCACCCATCTGTTTCTTATAGGAAACAAAGGTTGCTACACTAAGTTTTTTGTTACAGTAGCTTTCTTTAATTTATTTTGAAATTTGCATCTTAAATTGCTTGAAAATATACAAAGGTACCAAATGTGTGTGTGTGGGGGCACAAACTCAAGTTAACAGATTAGACTAGATACAAAAGCACCTTTGACATCCCGCCCCCAGTTCTTCTTAAAGGGAAAGTTACTGTTGGTGGTTTGCTGAGGGTTTTCCCTAAACTTGCTGTATACTTAGGCATATGTGAAATACATATTAATACTTTTCTGGCTATTTCAAAATGGCATCATATAAATTTCTCCTCCATATCTGATTTTTTAATATTTAATATGTCTGGAAGACCTTTTAATGCCAGTATGTGTAGATTTCTCATTCTTTTTGATAACTTTATAGTGTCCCATGCTGTAGCTATATATTTAACCACTTCATGTTCTGCGATTGCCAGAGGGTGTGTGTACTTACCAGAGGAGGGGGGAAGGGAGACCCTCCCATGGGTAATGGTCATTGTGCAATCTTTTCTCCTCCATTTTTCACTATTTCTTTATTGATGAATGTTTACAAAATCATTTTTTAAAAACTTTTTTTCTGATATTATTTTCTATTTAAAATCCATCTGAAAATTACATATATTTGAGGTTAGAACTTAGTGTTTTCTCATTGAGTTAATACTAAAATAACTAGTAGCCCATGAATCCTCACTGATTTGAAGAGCCATGTTTATCATATACTAAATTCTCCCGTACACAAAGGGTTTTTTTAAGTGAAAATTGTCATTCCATTGATCTTTGTTTCTCCTTGTACCTTGTAAGCATATTGCTTTAATTGTTGAGAGCTTTTTTTAGTGTATGTCTTTATCTGGCTATCTCCCCTATCATTGAGTTCTTTTTAAACATTAGTTTGATGTTCCATCTTTTACTTTCCAAAGAGCTTTAGGATCAGATTGTTAAGATTTAGAAATCATGGGCTGGCCCTATGACTTGATGTTTAGGGGAGCCAGCTCTTATATGGCTGACCATGGTTTGAATCCTGGCCCCAGTGGCTTGAAAATCATGCCAGGCTTGTGTGTGTACGCATGCTCCAAATCCTGACAGGATGGAGAAATGGAGGAGAAGGAACCACATTGTCACCATTCTCCACTGGGGAGTGGTGCTTCCTCCCTCCCCTTCTCTGCCTTTCTCTGGCAAGCGCATGTGCCCTCTGGCAAATTAAAAAAAAATTACTATGATTTATTTTTATTTTAAAAGGAGTTATTT